TGGGAGGCTGAGCTGGGAGGATTGCTTGAGGCCAGGAGTTCAAGACCAGCCTGAGCAAGACCCTGTCTCTACAAAAAATTTAAAAATTAGCTGGACGTGGTGGCATGCGCCTGTAGTCCCAGCTACTTGGGAGGCTGAGGCAGGAGGATTGCTTGAGCCCAGGAGTTTGAGGTTGCAGTGAAATATGATGACACCACTGCACTATAGCCTGGGCAGCAGCTAGAGACCCTGTCTCGAAAAAAAGTGAAAATCCTTCTTCCTTGGCATCACTGTCTCCCAACCCATCTCCAAGATGTAACCAGAATCCACCGTGTGACACAGTTTGTACAGCTCACTTACAGAGCCTCCGTGGTACTTTGAGTATGATGACAAATTGTGAGAAATAGAGAATGCCCCTCCCTACTCGAATGTGGCTAATACCTCTCTGGAAAGATGTGGCTGTTTTTCAGTGTTAACTGGTTATTCTTCAATCTATGCAGAGCCAGAAAAAGAGCATTTTCAAGAAAGAGGACATTTACGCTCACGCTGAAATGAACATGCTTGCATTTTTCTATAAGTACTGTCACAGTAGCCAATGTTTTCCTGGGCTGTGGTCAGTAATAAAGGTAGGTAGTTTCACATGGACTGGCTAATAAAGGGGGAGTGTGACAATCAGAGACAGACAGAGCCACAGCCTAACTGCCCTAGACATCCATGGATTTTACACTGTCTTCTCCAGCCAATTGTTTCAGCGTGATGAAAACTAGATGTCAGTACTGGATGGACATAAGTGGGAATTGTTCTTGAGTTAAACACGTGTGGGACATTTGCCGCTGTGAGGACTGTGTACGCGCATGTGGCACCATTACCTCTTGGATGAGTTATTTATTGCAATGGGCTCCTAACTGGCCGCCCTGCCTCTGACCTCGCCCTGCTTCTGTTCTCAACATGGCAGGCAGAGCGCTGTGCTGCTGTCTGGACATAGCTCCCTCCTCCTCTCATCCCATTCTGAGCCACAGCCAGAGTCCTTACAGCAGCCTACGAGGCCCTGCGTGATGCATCCCCTGCTGCCTCCCTGATCTTGTCTCCTCTGACTCCACTGCTCACTGCACTCCAGCCGCGAGGGCCCCTTGCTACTCCTCAAACTGCCCGGCACGCTCCCGCCTCGGGCGCCTGCCTGGAGCACTCTTCCCAAAGCAGCCTCATGGTTTGCTTCCTCACTTCCCTCAACTGCCACGTTATAGGTGAGCCCTTCCCTGACCACCCAATGTATAATAGGCCCCCCAAACCCCAACACTCTCCAATCTTGATGCCCTGACTTTCCTATAGCACTTAACAGACACACTTCATGCTTACTTGTTTATTTTCTATTTCCTGCCACTTGAATGTGACCTCCACGAGGCCAGGGATTTTGCCTATTTGTTCACTGCTCTGCCCTAGTGCCTAGATCACTGCCTGGCACACAGTAGGGGCTTAACAAGTGCATGTTGAATGAGGATTGAATGACAACCTGCTGTCTGCAGGACCCTGGGAATGAGGCTCTGCCTCAGGGTGGGAGGCAGTGGACCAGAGCTGCTCGGAGCACGATGTATCAAAGAGAGGCCCTGTGTGGGGGGAGTGGGTGTAGGTGGGCCTCACCGTACCCACTATACCCTTAGAATTCTAAGGTGCAGAATTCTAAGCATTCGGGATGAGTGGCATGTGCCACCCTATCTCAATGAGTGGCCCTTGAGCCCACTGGGCAAGGGAAGTGGTGGGCCAGAGCCCAGGTCCATGGCCCCCTGAGGGGGGTGGCCTTGCTAGGTGCACTGAGAATGAGGACCCCAGCGCTTCTGTCCCACTACCCTTCAGAGATAAGGTGGAGGCAGGTCCTCGTCTCAAGTCTACAATAACAATCGTTTCTGAAGTTTCTCCCTTCATAGATGTCAGCCCTACCGCCCAGACATGTCTCATGGCAACTGAGTCATGCGTCAATAATTGTGGTGGGGTGGGGGTGGGGGGAAGCTGAGCCCATCGATCGAGGGCTGAGACATCCTCCCCGCTAATCAACAAGTTAATAAAGTCTTCCCTGAGGAGGCGGTGATTAATGAACCAATCAGCTTGCCCTGTAACTGGGGAGTGGAATTGGAGGGCAGGGGTGTGATGGATAGGGAGGGTTTGTGAGGATGTGCAGGGCTGGCTCCTGGTCTGCACTGAGGGACCACCTCGGGCCCATTTGCTTTGGCTCTAAAGGTAGATGGGGAAGTGACTTCTTCAGAGGCTGTAGCCTGAATCTCGGCCACCGCCTCTGCCATCTAGCTTTTGCACTGTTTCTCCTCTCCTCCCATGTGTCCGCAGACCCCACACTCCCCAGGGCATGAGGGGGTTCCAGAGACATCAGTTTCCCTGCGGGCATCTCTCAGGCTCCTTCACCTCTAGGCCCGGGATCCGAGCTCTAGAAACCCCTCATCAGCACCCTGGCTAGCGCCGTGGGTCACAAGAGCAAACAGCCTCCGCTCTCTGAAAACCTTGCCTCTGTTAGCTGGCAGGGTCCTCGTCTAGGCCTTGACCCCTGGGATCACGGATGTTCTCACCAACCCCCCACCCTAGGGTGGGCACCGTCTTTTGTCTTTCCTTGGAGGGGGTGATACTCTTTTATTTCTGCTGTCTCTCCTCCACACTGGACATAGGCTTGACTCTGTCTCTTTGTACCTGTGTTCTGGGAACTCCTCAGACTGGGGATCCCAGGGACAGTGGAGTGCCTTCCCCCTCGGGCTGGGGCTCCCCAGTGGTACTGCTGTGCCCCTCACCTCAGGATCTCCAAGGATATGGCCAGGACTCTCCTCTGGGACGGGGGTTCTTGGAGGACAGGGCTGTGCCTTGCCCCTCAGGGGAGGGCGCCCTAAGAATGATTTTTCTCCTCCCTCCAAGGGTGGGGCCCATGTCCCCGTTTTCCTCTTCCACCTTCATGCCCAGTAGGTGCCCTGGCGTTTCTTGGGATGTGGAGGCCCATGGCACTGGCTGCTAAGGAGCCATTTCCGGAGAGTGCAGGTGATTGAACCCATAAAGAGGTGATTGACGGAGCCCTGGACTCTCTGTCTCAGGAGAGCTCTAAAAATAGCACCCACAGCCATCTGTCCTTGAGGCTGAAGGGGGTAGCTCAGGACCAGGGCCTGGACAAGATGGCCCCTCCTGCCCCTCTGGGCTGACGGGATGTCTGGAAGCACTGGAGGGCAGGCCAGGCTGGGGAGAGGCAGCTGGAAAGGGCTTTATGGGGGGACCCCCCCAACAGTCCTCTCTCTTCCTGGTGGGGGAGGTGTGTCTGAGGGGGCTGGCAGTCTGGAGGCCTTTCCCCCATCCTGGCCTCTCAGCGATAGTGGTGGACCCCAGACTCAGCCTCCTGTTCCCTGCCCCCAAGCCTGCCTCCTGAGCTCCATGGTATTGCAGTGCTGAGCCTTCCTGCCCTCATGATTGAACGGGCCTCTTCCTGGGCTCTGCCCCACGCTCTTTTTCCTCTTTGAATCATGGGTGACCTTGGCTGCTCCATCACCGCTCAGAGATTCAGTTTCCTCATCCGGAAAACGGGGAACACTCAGCTCACTGCAGTTATGCCTGAGATTGTACACTACCCAGTGCACAGTAGGTGCTTAATAAACATGAGTCCTTTCCCCCTTCCTTCAAAGGCTCTGGGGTGAGGGTCTTGGCCTCAGAGCCCAGTGGTACATGCTTGGGCAGCCTTGGCATCACTCAGCCCCAGAAGACACCAGTGCCCTGAATGACCCCTGGATGGGGGTGGGGGCACTCTGCCTTGGGAGGGGGCTCTGTGCCAGGCCTGGCTGGACCGAGGACTGTGTGTGCCAGGCTGGATGCACCGGTGGCCGACTCAGCTACTTCAGGCGAGGGCACTGGCTTCTGCCTCCTCCTGACTCTAATGGACAGAGGACGTGAGTGTCCGGAGAGGCCCTACCCCAGGACACCATAAACCGAAGGCCAGGAGCCAAGGTCATATGCACGCATCCCTGCCTCCAATAGAAAGACTTTCCCCCACAGATCCTGTCACTGCTCAGCCCTTCTCCCAGGTATTACCGAGCAGAGCTGTAAAGGATTGCCTTTTGGAAAGAGTGGCCACAGGTCCCACGTTTCCTCCCTCTGCCCCCCACTCCCACTCATGGACAGGCTGGAGAAATGGAATCCCAGCTCTGGTCCTAGAGGCTGCCCCAGGAGTCTAGCTAGAAATGCTTCACTTCCTCAGGAGGCTAGACCCGCCACTGGGGGGCCGTGGGGTGAACACGGGGTTCAGGCTAGGCACCTCATCCAGTGGGACCCTGAATCTGAGCATGGCAGCTGCCCCCTCAGCTACTGCCAGACATCACGCACGCACTGGCTGGGTGTAAGCACGCACTGGCTGGGCGGGGGCGGAGGGAGGGAGGAGGAAGGGCCCTCCCCCTGATGGTTCCCCCTCCCTCTGGGACTCCCCCTCCCTTTCCAGGCTGGGATATAAGACCGCAGGGAAAGCTCTGAGCAGAGGAGGCCCCAGCCTGACCTGCAGCAGTCCAGCCTTCAGGACCTCCCTCGCCTTCCACCACCTTCCACCTTCTGTTCATCTTGCTTCGGGAGCTATTGCTGTGAGTGGCTGGGGCTCAGGAATGGTCTGGTACCGGGGAACCGCGGCTGTTTTGTGGGGAAACTGAGGCTGGGATGGTGGAAGCTGGAGCTGAGTGGTGGGAAGCTGGATTGGAAGGGAGCCAGCAGAGGTGGGAAGGAGAGGCTTCGGAGCCCCGTGGCCAGCATAGCCCTCTTCCTCCATCTACCTCTGGGCTGCAGTGGGGGACGGGCTGGGGTGGGGAGGCAGGCAGTGCAGATGAGGGAACTGAGGCTACAGACAGCCCAGTGCCCAAGAAGGCACAGCAAGTTGGTGGCTGAGCCTTGGTCCCGACACCAGCCCCAGACAGGCTGCTGGAGCGTGGGCCCGAAGGCAGCTGTAGCCTCCAGCCATCGAGTTGAGGCTCAGCATGATCTGCGCTCCGATGTCCCCTTCCCAGATGGTGACGGTGCGTAGGCCGTGGCCCGCCATGGCCACAGTGTTTCTGGCCCTGCTCGCCTGCCTGGGGGCGTTGGTCGACACCTATCCCATCAAACCCGAGGCTCCTGGCGAAGACGCTTCCCCTGAGGAGCTGAATCGCTACTACACATCCCTGCGCCACTACCTCAACCTGGTGACCCGACAGCGGTGAGCGCATGCGCGGGGGTCGCGGACCAGGGCTGCAGGGCTCACGCCCTCTGTCCGGCTCCGCCCATGGGCGTGACCAGGCATGACCACGCCCCCTGTGGCTCCGCCCCCAGGTATGGGAAACGCGACAGCCCGGACCCTGTCGTCTCCAAACTGCTCTTCCCCGACGGCGAGGACCGTCCCGTCAGGTCGCGGTAAAAGCGCCCGCCTCACCGCACCCTGCCTCCTGGAGCGCGGCCTGGTCCTGTAGCCGCACTGAATCCCCACCCTGGCACCGTCACTCACGACTTCTCCCCGTCTCGCCTCCCCAGATCCAGTTCCTTTCCTTTCTCTCCTGCAGGTCGGAGGGCGCCGACCTGTGGTGATGACCCCCAAGGCCTCCTGGGAGATATGCTAATTACAACAACCTCATTTGCATATTTGCTCCTGACCCCGGAACCTGGATTCCCCTTCCTGCCCACTGCGTCGGGGCAGGGCTGGGTTGAGGCCCCCGCCCCCTGGGCTGGAGGGCTGTGGATGATCCTTCCCTGGTCCCAAAATAAAGAGCAAATTTCACGGAAACCGAGTGTGCCCTTGATTTCCTTTCCTTTCTCCTTCGTGGCGGTGGCATCGGGTGGGAGTGGAGGGTGGAGGTGCGAAGGCTGAAGAAGACTCAGACTCAGACAAAAGGCACCCGGGACAAGGCTGGGGAGCATGGTGGGGCCTCCCTCTGCCTGGAGCTCGGAGAAGGCGCTACCGCCCAGCCTGGGGCTGGACAGCGCCCGGACAGGGGCCCTCTGTGTAAAGAACTCTAGCGGTGGGCTGGGTGGGAGTTCTTGAAAGAGGGGCAGGGAGGAGCAAGAAGAAGAGTGGCTGGAGGATGGGGAGGTGGTAGGGAGCGTGCCAGACAGCCTAGGAGAGTAGCTGGGGACCGCGCTGCCCTTCCCCACCCCGCAAAGCTGAAGATGGTTGTGGAGACGGGCCAGGCACCAACACCCCAGGGCGGTTCCCTCAGGAGCTGTATTACTAGCGCCCAGGGCTGTAGTGGCTGAAGGTGGAGTGGGATCCAAGATGGGGCTGTGCAGGAAGAGACCTGTGGGGGCAAGGTGGGTGTGTGTGTGCTGGTGGGGGAGGCAGGCCCTTCCTACTGTCCCCATTCCCAGAATACAGGAGCAGTGGGAGTGTGGAGGCTGCCCTTTCCTCCAGCAGCCGCCCTCCCCCATCTTGCTGAATTCACACCCAGTGGATGAGTCACTAAATGTGCCTTCCTAGTGAGAAGACCATAGGGACACCCTCTTGTGTCCCCCCTCCCCTGGATTAGACAATTAGACTCCTAAAGGCACTGTGTATGTTTAAATTGGAGTCCAACTCCAACCCCTCACCACTCTGCACCTATCCCAGAGCCTGCCTGCAGGCTGCGCCCCTGACACCCTCCCTTCCCAGCCCCTTTCCTTCAGGAAGCCTGCCCTGATTGCCCCAATCTGCACGCTTCCTCCCCTCTCTGGCTGTCCAGCTCTCATGGCCCCTGCTCTGTTCACTGAGAGTTCTGTCTCTGTGTCCTGTCTCTCATCTGGGTTTGGGGACCCCCTGAAGGCAGGGCTTGTGTCTCCCCCCTCAGACACAGCCTCTTCTGTCTGGGGGCTCTCTCCTTGGCCTCTAGTTCAGTAGGACCTGCCAAAGTCTGAGGTAGGGGGCTGGGAGATGAAGGGGAGAATCAGCCTGAGGCCAAAGCCCCAGACCCAGAGAGGGTAAGAAGGGCAGGAAGGCTGGGTGGTGTCCCTGCGGAGGGCATGGGCCATGCAGGACTATTTGCAGTTAGGTGGCTCCAGGAGGAGAGAAGTTTCTGAAGCTGGCTCTGCCATAGCTGCAGGGGAGGCCCCTGCTTGGACACAACCTGCCCTAGGGGGCCAAGGGACTCTGACGCCCACCTTCCCCTGTGCTGCCCTCCAGCTGCCCTGGAGGTAGGGCCGGAAGGGCCCAGGCCTGTATAGATCATGAATTCTGTGGATTCCGATGCTCTGTGCCTTCACCCTCCATTCTCCCTGCCTGCAGAGCCCTTGCCCTCTCTTTGGCCGGCAAACACCTTCAGGGTAGTGGTCACCTCCTCCCAGAAGCCTTCCCTGCTTTCCTGGGATGGAGTTAGTTTCTTTGGCTCCCTCTCCCCACTCATTCTCTAAGACCCACTTCCCACTGCATTTTGCCTCCTTCCTTCTCTCCTGCACCAGGACAAGTGAGATGGGAGCACACAGCAATGCCTGCCCTTTGGTTCCTTGTGTGGCTGGGGAGCGGGAGGATGTGTCTGTGTGTTGGTGTCAGTCAAGTCCACCTCAAGCCTCATTTCCCCCAGAACTTTCTTGCCCTGCCCTGAGTTTATCTGCAGCCTGGATCTGAGCTCTCACACAGGTCTAGCCAATAGCAGGAGCCCACCTCAAGGGCCAGGACCCCACAGTTGGTGCAGTGGCCTCGGAGGCAGAAGACCCAGATCGGAGTCCTGTCTCTGCCATTAATTGGCTGTGACTTTGATCTAGTCATTTCATCTCACTGTGTTTGTTTCTGCACTGGTTAAACAGGGATGCCGATACTTTAAATAAAAAGAGTAGTTAATTGCTTTACCGCTGAGAGAGACTATATAAGTTGCAAAAGGTCACGCAGCTAGTGAGTGGTAGAGCTGAGTCTATGGGCTGGGTCAGCCTGACACAGCCTGGCACATGTGTAACCCTTGTAAAACCAGAGTTCCACAGGGCTCAGGCTCCAAGTGGCATTGCATTCAAGAAAAAACAGCTCCATAACCAAAAGCAATGAAAAGGAATTCCACCTGGTACTCCCATTCCTCAAAGGACATCGCATATCCAACCCAAGGTCAACAGCAATATACATTAAAATCCCCTTCCTCTCCTTCACCCTCCTCAATTCTTGCCCCCTCCAACTACCCCAAGGGGAAATTCCTCCTTTGTCATGCCCAGCCCCTTTGGTTTCTTTCCTCCCTGTTCCCCTCCTGCAACACTTAATTATGCAGATTGATTTAGTCTCTATCTCAGCAAGAAGACTTCCTCTTTAGGAAAATTTGGAGTGGCAATTATAGGATTTGCTTTTGCAGACACTGGGGGCAAGAAGGGAGAAATATTGAATACTCTTATGCCTTTAGGAAGCCCTGGAGACAGAGGAGCCCCCAGGGGGGAGGGAAGTGGAGGCAGGCCCAGGCTCCAAATTAGTGGCCTAAACCCTCAACTGGATCTGAGTTGGCCCTGAGGGGATGGGACAAGGGGCTCAAGGTGTGTGGGAGTATCATAGCTATCCTCAGCTTGAGGGATAGGTCCTGGCATCTAGGGGCAGCTGCCTCCCAGCCTAACCCCTGCTGCCGCCACCCAACTTGGGAATAAGATATTGGCCTAAGAATTGGGCCAGAGGTGGCCTGGAAACAAGTGATAAAGTGTAGGACCTGGAACCACAAGGACCTGGGTTTAATCCTGACCCCTCCTGACTCAGTGTGAACTTAGGCAACTTCAGCTACCTCACTGAGCCTCAGTTTCCTCATCTGATAAATGGGAAAAGTAATTCCTGCCTCTGTCACAAGGTAGTAAGGGGTGCTCATAATATGACCTGTGAGGCAGGTTCTAAATTCCAGGGTGAGGCCAGGCTCAGTGGCTCACGCCTGTGATCCCAGCACTTTGGGAGGCCAAGGTAGGAGGATCTCTTGAGGCCAGGAATTTGAGACTAGCTTGGGCAACATAGTGAGACCACATCTCTAAAAAAATATTTTAAAATTAGCCAGGTATTCGGGAGGCTGAGGCAGGAGGATCGCTTGAGCCCAGGAGTTTGAGGTTGCTGTGAGCTAGGATGATGCCACGGCACTCTAGCCCGGGCAACACAGTGAGACTCTGTCTCAAAAAAAAAAAAAAAAAAAATTAGCCAGGTGTGGTGGCGGGTGCCTGTAGTCCCAGCTACTTGGAAGGCTGAGGCAGGAGGATCACTTGAGCCCAGGAGTTCGAGGCTGCAGTGAGCTGTGATTGGGCCACTGCACTCCAGCCTGGGCGACAGAGCAAGACTCTGTCTCTAAAAAATAAATGAAATAAAATAAACAAGAAAGCCAGGGTGAGGGATGACTGCTGACCACTCCTTCCCCGTCTTCAGTGTCCTCACTTTCCAAAACAGCCATGCCCCAGCTCCTCACTCTGCTCTGACCTCCTTGCAGAGCTCTCGCTTCCTCATCTCCTCCCACTCGGCCCCCAAAGGGCTGCCTGGTATGAGGCCCAGGACAGATGTGCCACAAATGACTGCTGATTGCCAATTAACTGAAAGCAGCAGGGATTGGGATTAGACAGCTGGGGGGAAGGGGGATGGGGGACATGGTGCTGGCCAGACTCCAGTCCTTGCGGTCATGTGTGTGAGGACCCCCATTCACCTGCCTTAATTCACTCTGTGACCGCAGGCATTTCTGGGGTGTTCCTCTCCCGGTCTCAGTGTCAGAGCACTCATCCCATCCCCAACACTGCCAAAGGCCATCTAGCCTGTCCCAGAGGGCATGGAGTTGGGCAGAGAGAGAGGGACCACTGTCATCTCCATTCAGCGCATCTGCAGGTGAGCAATCGATCAGTGTCTTCTCTAAGCAGGGCTCCATGGCAGGCACCGTGGGCACACACGGACCATTGTGTTCTGGACATGGTCATGAAGTTTAGAAAGCAAATCCACTGCCACTTCCTCCTTGATTGTCACCACACCCCTGAGAGGACCCAGGAGGGGAATCTGTTGTTTGCAAAGGAGAAAAATGAAAGCTATAGGTTCGGGCGACATTTGTGGAGTACCTGTTATTTCCTAGGCACTGCCAAAGCTGGTTTATTTCTGCGACAGGACAGAACCACAAATGGCCCAGGCACCTGAGTTAATCTCCAGATCTGCCATCTGTCTGGTGGGGCTGGGTCCTAATGGGTAGTAGCCAGAACAGGTCCCCCAGGCTGTGGTCCCCAGGGATCCCAGACCTTTGGAACTAGGGCTGGAGCCTGGCGCCCCCTGGTGGAGTTTCACAGCCTCTACCGGCCAAACCAGACGCCAGCCTGGGCCCAGCTGTCAGTTCACCACTCTTGTTTTGCAAACTGGAAAATCTTGGCCCAGAAAAGAACCCAGGCTTGCTGAGACAGAACGACCTCCATACTTGCTTTGTGGAATGTCAGTTGTTGTCTGTGAAGCATTATTGTTCTTCTTGTTGCCAGAAATCAGAACAGAGAGGACAAGGCAGAACACAGATGCTTACCGAGGCTTCCCTTATCCTCCCCATCTTGAGATGGGTGTGATGAGCCCATTTCACAGAGAGGAGAAGCGAAGCTGAGACGCTAAAGGAATTAGTTTCCCAGGCTCCCACAGGCGATGGCAAAGGCAGGATCGGGACCCAGGCCTGTCTGAGCACTAAGCCCACCATGACAACACCGTGACAGCCTCACACTGGAAAAAAAGTCCAGGTTTTGGAGTTAGACTTTGGAGTCAGATTTTCTTTCAAACCCACCTGTGTCTCCCACTGACTAGCTGTGTGGTCTGGGGCCAGTTATTTAACAACTCTGAGCAGATTGTCAGTTTCTGAATCAGTAAAATGGGTTGTCGTAGGATTTAGTGAGGTGATTAAGTGGGAGCACTTTGAGCTTTGCAGATGATGCTGGTTTTTATTACTCCTCTGGAGTGGGGGCTCCAGCGGGGGAAGGGAAATGGCTACCAGAAATTGGCACCCCGCCCCCATTCCCCTGAATCCAGGCATTGATTCTCATTCTGCGTCCTGAACATCCACCACATGGGTTTCTCTGTGCCTGGGACCCACGCCTTCCCACATTGCCTAAGGACCCGAGGTCCCTTCCCTGTCCCCACCTTGCTCTAGTTGCAAACTGGAAAGCAAGGCCTGAGTTCCCACCCTAGCCCCCTGCAGCCTTGAGCTGCAGCCTCAGTCTCTGCCCGGAGCAAATCCGTTTGACAATTCGGGTTGGTCCTTGGGAGGTGGGAAGGGCTGTTCTGAGGCCTGTGACGAAAACCTTTCAGTCACCCTGAAGTCCCAGAATCCAGGCCTTCTAGAACCAAGCCTGCTCTGGCGCCCAAAGGGAAGGGGCATCTAGGATGGGGACCCACAGGAGACTAAGACTTTTATTGTGACCTAGTTTTATCCATTACGCTGTTAGTCTGGCACCCATAGTACCGCCCTATCCCCCTCCCGTCCCTGGTCCCTGGCTCCTGTGCTGGCGTTGCAGGTGCCAGGGAGACAGTGGGAGGAAGGGGTGAGGGCTGAGGAGTGACAGAGGCTGACAGGAGGCGGAGACTCCAGTGGGGGGCTGAGGACTATAAAGGGGCACAGCCCAGAGCAGGGGGACCCATCTGGCCCAAGGCAGGTACCCACTTGGTCCAGCGTCCATGCTTTCTGGACCCAGGGTAAGTGGTCTCTGCCTGCCCTGGGCTCTGGAGGGCTCCGCGGGGCCGAGGCATAGGATGGAGGGAAGGAGTTGGTGCTTTGCAGGGCTGGGGGCCTTGGGGACCTAAGGTCCCACTTGGGTCCTGCTCTGCATCTAGACAAATCTGTCACACTGGGCGTCTGCTGACTGCGAGCGCGTGTGCACTTGTGTGTGTGGTTGTGAGCTGGAATGTATGACAGCGACCTTGTGATTGGGATCTCTGTGTGTGTCCCTGTCCCTGTCTGTGTAGGGTGACATGGGCAGCAGTGTTTTCTCCAGGACCTATACTGCATCTCTACCCCTGGGGGGAGGGCCAGACCCACCAGGCCATGGATTTCTGTCCCTTGCTTCACAAGTTCTCTGTGTCCCCCGCCCTGTGGGTGAGCTGGAGTGCCCCTCCTTCCCGCCAGCCCCCTCCCTTGAACCCCCACCCAACTTCTGCCTCCCGTCCCCAGGCCTCATGTTCCCCCTTCTCTGTGCACTTCTGTACCTTGCAAGGCCCTGACTGACCTCTGGTTGCTGCTGCTCACAAGAAGGGGCTGCCCGTGCCCTCCAGGGCAGGGTCTGGAGGTGGGGTGATCAGCTCCGAGTGGCTCTTTGCCCTGCCCCCTTGTCCCCAGGTTTGGAGGGAGGGGCGATGGGCTAAGGGGCAGGGGGGCCTGCAGACCGGGCTCTATTCCGCCTCCAGCTGCTGGCTCCCTGCTCCTCAGATGGCTGCCACACGCCGCTGCCTCTCCCTGCTGCTCCTGTCCACCTGTGTGGCTCTGTTGCTGCAGCCACCGCTGGGCGCCCAGGGAGCCCCGATGGAGCCAGTGTACCCAGGGGATGATGCCACGCCAGAGCAGATGGCCCAGTATGTGGCTGATCTCCGCAGATACATCAACATGCTGACCAGGCCTAGGTGTGTGCCAGGGAGAGGGAAAGGGATCCTGGCCCTTGAGACCCGTGGCCCACTTCACATTCCTGGCCACAACCCCATCCCTGTCCCTGCCCCCAGCCCCTTTCATACTCGCTTTTGGGAAAATGGAGCATCTCTACAGACCAGGTCTGGGCCCAAGTGCCCCAGGCAGGATGGTCCCAAGGGAACCCCTATGAGGCAGGTGAGCTGGCACCTGGCACAGTGCTTGCCCCAACTATCTCTTCCCTCCCAGGTACGGGAAAAGAGACAAAGAAGATGCACCGGACTCCTTGCAGTGGGACTCCCCCCACGCAGCTGCCCCCAGGTGGGTCTGATTCCTGCCTTGTCTGCCCAGCTCCCTGCGGCTGAAATTTGGGGCAGAATCAGGGCCTGGAAGGGGTGGGGTTGGAGGACAGAGAACGGGGGCCCAGCACTGGCCTGAGGTCTCCCGAGGGCACAAGGCCTGGGTCCCCACTGCCACATTCTGTCCTGTCCTCACAGGGAACTCAGCCCGATGGACCTGTAATGCCACCTCCTGCCTCGTAGGACTCCGTGAGCAGTGCCAGCCCAGCTCGTCCCTCCACACCCTTGGCTCTGGCCAGAGCTTGCTCCCTGCTCCCACACAGGCTAAATAAAGCAAGTCAAAGTCACAGCCTCTCTCTGAGTCTCTGTGGGCCCCTGATGGGGGCAGGAGCAGGCCAGACGCACCGGAGAGAAAGGGGGAGGGCAGGGAGGAGGGGAAGGGGCAAGGGGGCTGTTATAAATGATCCAGAATGTCTGTAAGCTCATTAGTCACTCAGCTCATCCTCCCCACTTCACAGAGGGACAAGTGGCCCAGGGGGCACCAGGGACTCTCCCAAGGTCATTCAGCAAGTCAGCGAAGTGGCAGTCTTGGATTTGAATCTTTCCATTTTAGCACTTCTAGACCTTTCTGATCATGGGTCCGATGACAACCCTGTCCCAAAATGTACCCCTCCCCAATGCTGTCCTCTAGCCTAGGTAGTAGATGAAGCACTAATTTATATGAAAGTATCCTGGGCATAGAGGCAGGGGCAGCAGCCCTGCCTAGACGAGTGACTCTGGTGCTCAGTCACTGGCTGCACTGGGTGTCCTCAGAGCTGCCCTCTAGCAATTTGGAGAGAATGGGCTGTCCTGAGAGGTAGTGAACTCCTGGGCACAGGAGGTATTCAAGCTGCTGCAGGAGGGAGGAGGCCAGATTATCGGAGCGATCTGGCCACCTCCATGAGTCCTGTGTGTGGACTGTACACTCCAGCTTTGGGAGTGTGAGGACCCGGATCCTGCCCCCAGAAGGCCAGCCCTGAGAGTCCCAGTGGGCCCCCAGGCCTATCTCACCTTGGCCCTTCTCAGGCACCCCAACTAGGTGGGGATGGGGTGGGGCATGTGTATAAAGGGGAGACGTGAGAGAATTAGAACCTCTCTGGTTCTCAGAATGGCTTCTCCTGCCTCCCCCACGTGAAGGGATGGGGCTGTGGCTTTGGTAATGGCAGCGGCACCACAATCACGTTTTCCCCCAAGTCCAGGCTCCCTCTGGTGTGTGCAAATGACCTGGAACCAGGTCGAAACCAGACCCTAAAAGGCAAAGGGCTTCTAGAGGCTTCTAGAGGCTGTAGCTGCTTGGCTCAGGTTGACTCTTAAATCCAAGGGATGCCTGGATGGGGAGCTGGTTTCAGCAGGAGAAGAGTTTGAGTTTGTGTGACAGAGTGTGACATCCCAGCACTGTCTCTGGCAGCTAATGGGATGATTCTGAATGGGGAGAAGTGTAAACACTTCCCAGGGGCAGGAATTAGGCCCCAGCTCCAGACACATCTGGGTGTGAAAGTTGGATCATGGCAGGGGCCTCTGGCCCTGCCCAGGCCTCTCGGATGGCTGTGGGGACCCTCAGAGGAGAGTGTCACCCTCAAGCCCACTTTTCAGGGACAGGCCCTCGCTAGGTGTCTCCCCTTCCCCTGTTGTGCTCACCAACAGAGGAGCTGACAGAGCCCAGGAGGCAAAGAAGGCTCCCTGAACTCTGCACACTGAAGGCAGACATGCCCCTCTGCGTGTCCCTGTGCCAACACTCACGGGAACACTGACAGGCTGGCATTCTAGGCTACTGGTCTGCGTAGAAACCTGGGCAGGGTGGGGTGTGTGTCTGACTGAAGCCCCTTCTTTGAGATTGCAGAACCGGCTTCTCTCATCCCTGTTCTCCCTCCAGGTTAGACCCCTACCCTGGTAGGGGTGCATGCGGGTGAGGTGGGGGAAGGTGGGTGGGTCGCAGGGAGGACTCTGTAGCTGAGGTCTTTTTCTCCCACAGCAGGAACTCCTAGGTCCCCTGTCCTCCTTTAAGGACAGGTACCTCCCTGCCAGGAGGCCCACAGAAGCCCACATAAGTCAAGACGCAATAGAGATTTTGTTTCTCTTTATTGTTTTCACCGAGGGGGTGGGAGGAGTTGAGGCCCCTTTCACAATATAAAGGGATTGGTGGGCATTGAGACCCCCGGGTCAGGCGTCTGGAGGTCAAGGAGAAGGAAGTCCCCGGGGCGCTGCTATCTCCCCCGCCTCCACACCTGGGATCTTCCTCTCGCTCCCACCCCAGCTGCGCCCAGTTCCGAGGCCCCTGACTCGGTGCCAGCAGTGCCCAGGCTTTCCTACCTGGGGCCCCGGGAGGAGGTGGGTGGCAGGGGTTCCATGGCGTTCGGTGCCTGGCGTTTCGCGGTGGCCTGCGGTGGGGGATTCGTGGCGTTCGGTGGGGAAGGGTTCGAGGCGTTCGGTGGGGAGAGGTTCGTGGCGTTCGCGGTTTTCTTGTGGTTTTTAGATTTCTTCAAGCTGGGGAAGACGTCTTTGCAGCTCGGGCAGCGATGCGCGCGGGGGTGCCCCGTGGCGTTCGTGTCCTCCCCCAGCCCCCCTTCCTCCCTCCCGCGCGCCCCCCGCGGGCCTACCTGCCGCTGAAGAACTTCCCCACGTATTTCTGGATCTGGCCTAAGTTCTCCAGCCAACTGGCCGCCCTGGGCCTGCGGGGCTGGGGCGCTTGCAGGTCCACTCCCTGAGCGCCCTCGGGCCACCGCAGCAGGGATGCAAGGCACACGAGGGCCAGTGCGCACGCGCAGCGCAGAGCCGGCGTCTGGAGGGGGTGGGACAGACAGAGTCGCGGGCGGTCACGTGACACAGGGCCCAGGGTGCTTGCGACGCCCAGCTCCGGTCCTGCGGACGCTCAGCCAAGCCGACAAGCTGGGGTGCGGGGGCGCTCAGACCAAGAGGCGTGTCTGCCTCTGGGACATGCACAGGTGCACAAGCGCCGTAAGGGACATCCTGCTGTACACCTGGACGTGCAGTGATGCACAACAGAGTGCCGCGGTAAAAATGGACGGGGAGGCGCGACCTGAGATGGACACACAAGGACGGACGGCGTGGGACAGCGTGGAGCCATTGGTCCCTAACCTCGCTGACCTCTCCCACAAGCTTCTCACCCCTCTCCCTCCTCCTCCCTGTTCCCCCAAACGCCAGACATGCTGTTCCTTGCCTGGAAGACTCTTCCTCCAGACATCCACGTGGCCAGCCCTGTCTCCTCCTTTAGGCATCAGCTGAAAATTTACCTAGATGGGTCCTACTCTGACACCCCTATTCAAAATGGCGACCCAAATCCATCATCACGCTCTATTTTTTCCCCACTGCATTTTCTGACTTAACGATGTACTTTTATTTATTGTGAGTCCCTTCCCAGTAACACCCCCTTCAGTATAAGCACCATTAATTACTGTTGGGCTCTTTGCTTGTTTTGTCTATTGATGTATCACAAGCACCTAGAACAGAGCCTGATACTTAGTAGGTGCCTAATAATACATGTTAAATGAATGACTAACACAGTTGCATACAGGAATACCAGCCCCGGGATTCACACACACATATGCATGTACACACACACACACACACACACACACACGCTCCTAACGCGCAGAGAATTTTGCACCTGCAACATGCAGGCACACAATGATTTACAGACTATGAAGCCCACAAACATAATATGCACTCCCAGAGCTCCTGAGCCCCTCAACCCTCTCTTAACAAGGAACTCCCCCCATCCCCACCGCCCCAAGTGGGACAGGAAGCCCTGGCAGCTGTCCTGGCCATCGGAATGACAGAGGAGGGCTGCCCTGGCCTCACTCCTTCATGCCCTTAGTGAGCCTGGGGAGGGGCTCTCAGTATTAACCCCCACCCCCAAGCTCCTGGAGAACACAGCTAAAGAGGGCCCAGACTTAGCTAGCAGACATTACCATGGCGCAGGGCAGGTGCAGAGCAGCACAGCAAAGGGTCTCTGGCCAGGGCCTCCCAGGCCCTTTATATTCCTGCGGTCCATGCCCTCTTTCCCTCTAAGGCTCCACCCCAGATTGGCCTCCTTCTCCTGCCCCTGTGTTGTGACCTTGAAGTTGGGAACAGAGAGAAGGTGGGGGTGGAAGCACACGGGCTGCCAGCTTTCCTGACCAGAGCACAGTCCCTGCCAGTGGCCCAGAGGTGTGGGTGGCAGAGGCGGGGAGGTCTGGGGAGTAGGGTGACTTTTTGCTCCAAGTCTCCAGACCCTAGGGAGGAGCTGTCTGTGGGGTTGCGATGGGGCTGTGCTTTTCCCCCAGGCTGTTCTCAGGGTTGGGAAGGGCACTATGCTGAGAGACTAGACGCCCCTTCCCATCTGGCTGGATGCAAGATGCCTCCTTTCCCTGCAGGGCTGCCGTGGGGCCCCAGCACCCCTACTCCTGGCCCCTAGGCCTGCTGTCACAGGGCGGGGGTGGAGTTGCAGTTTGTGCTTTTAGGATTGCAGGCCCACTGCACATCTTGGAGGTTTTCTCAGCTTGCCTGGCCGTTGCGGAGCCCCTGATGGATGAATTACTGAGCCCTCTGGAAGGTGGGGGGTCTTGGCTGCTTGAACGATAAACTCAGGCCTTAGGCTGAGCTTCAGCTGTGTGGCCTGTCAGGTGCCCACTGCGTGTTCAACATTGCTGCGTTTCTAGGGAAAGGCTGTGAATCATGAGCTGATTCTTCCTGCCCACCCTGCTCCCAGAAGGGGCACCATAGGAAGAGCAGGGGCTTCTGGGTAGGAATCCTGACTTCACCACTTCCTGGCTGTGACCTTGCTTAAGGGACATTATCTCCCCTGAGCCTTCACATCCTCATCTGTGAAATGGAGCTGATTACACATAGAGCATAGAATTGTGGTGAAGATTGAGCCGGCTGTTGCAGCTCAGGCCCTGGACAGCTCTGGGCACATAATAGGAGATTAACGTGTGTGAGCCCCTCTATTCATGGATGAATCCTCTTCCCCATCCCCACTTCTCCCTCACGTGTCTCATCCTCTGGCCTCCTCTCCTTACTAAAACCTGCTGTCAGGGGAGGGGTGAGAAATGCAATGTCAATGTCCGTGAAGTTTATGCAAAGGCTCAGTGGCCAAGTGAGACCAGGACTGCATTTCTATGGAGACAAACATCTCCAGGAAAAGGAACAGGATTCCATGACAAAATTCCATAGTACAGGGTAGGAGGCCGACATCTGGGGCCAGTGTACCCTAAATACCAGCAAACAGGCTATTACTCATCCCCACTGGGCACAGCCTGGTGCTGCATCCCGCCCCTGCCCCCGCCCCCGCCTCGAGGCCAGAATTGGCGT